AAGGTGAAAGCAAGCTCAAGTGCGCCATCAATGGATGAATGGATAAACCAAATGTGGTATATAAATAGCGATGAATATTTTATAGCCTTAAAAAGAAGGAATCTTGGTATATTGTTACAACATGGATGAAAGTTGAAGACATTATGCTAAGTGAAATAAGCCAGTCATAGAAGGACAAATCAGATATGATCCTTATATAAGGAACTAGAGTAAGTTTTTCAGAGAGAGAGAGAATGGTGGTCACTAGAGGCTGAAGGAAGGGGAAGTAAGGAGTTAGTTTAATATATGCCAGAGTTTCAGTTGGGAAGATAAATATTCTGAAATGAATGGTGGTAGGCCAGGTGAGTGGCTCACACCTGTAATCCAGCATTTCTGACGGTCCAAGGAGGATCGCTTGAGCCAGCTGTTTTGAGACAGCCTGAGCAAACAGAAGACCCCATCTCTACAAAACATTGAAAAATTAGCCACGTGGTGTCTGTAGGGCCAGCTACTCAGGAGGCTGAGGTAGAGGATTGCTTGAGCCAGCATTTGAGGTTGCCAGTTGAGATGATTGATGACATCACTGCATTCTACCCCGGGCAATATTTAAATAAATAAAAGAATGGTAGTGATGGTTACACAACAATGTGAATACACTTAATGCTACTTGTATTGTATACTTAAAAATGGTTAAATAATAAATTTTATGCGCTATACATATATTTTACAATAAAAATTTTTTCAATTTTATCTAAGATCCCAACAACTTAGGAGAAAAAAAGAGGAAATTACTATAAAAATGTTGTTTTAATATAATCCCTATCTAAATGTCACTCATACAGATAGTTACCTCCTTCAAATGATCATCTTATGATGCCTACCTCTGTTTTGTGTTATTTTTTTCTTGCCTTTCAGTCATCTAAGCACTACTGAGACCGTTGTATTTTAGCCAATTCACTGGTAGACCAATAGCCAGGGGAATGAGTTAAAGCTCTTAGCAAGATACGAACTTTCCTTCAAGTTCAGGAAGCCTAGACTTCAAAGTCAAAGTTCCAAGTCCAAGCGTTGACTTACTAAAAGCCACTTGTCAAGTTTAGTACTCAACTACACTGTAAAAGAAAGATCCTAAAAGTAGCAAAAAAATGGTTTTTCACCATCCAAGTATGCAAGTAGTCATTCTGGTTTGATCAGTACTTTAAAAACTCCCCTCAAGCCTCACTTGAAAGATGAATTCCAAAAACTTAGTTTTTCCGTTCGAGGAGAATGATGAGAATACCTGCGCCACAGGATGGGAGTCGCATTTTCCCTTTGTCCATTGTCTAAGCAGGTAGTTCAAGCTGCAAATTGCTCAGTTATGGTGTATGACCATTAAGAGAAAATACAAGCCTGGTCCCTGGTCATTCTCTGTTCCTCCCCCCCTCCTTTCTTTTTTCGTGGATGGAGGTGTTTGGAGCTGAAGGGCTTGGTGTTGGCCTTATAAATTATTTTAGAACACATTCACCAAACATATTGTAATTCAGTTTGTCAGAGGAAGAGCCTGTTGTAAAAATTATCTGTTTAGCCCCACTGTGCCACGTACAGAAAACTCTACACAAATTCCTCAACTGTATCCAGAAACCTGGAAAAGTTGAGTCCTATTATCGTCATTCTCATAAAACAATCACACGTGAATGATCATGTCTGCTACAATCCTGATGCCTCAAAGCATTTTTCTCCATGAACATACTATGTTAAAAATGTGGATTGCTACTTTTTAGTACCGACTGAAAGTGAGAATCAGTTTACGATGAATTTAGATTATTTTTTAAAGGAATGAAATAAACTTTAAAAGATTAACAAATATTCAGAAAAATTAGAGGAGGTGTTTGGGGCCAAGGAACCTAAGAACTTAAAAGCACATTCCCTGCGGCTTCCTTTCCCTCTCTGAAAGGTTTCCCATTCAGCAGCATATTACCTTGGGGAACATGCACAACTGGTTTTCGATACCAAACACTTGTTGCTGAGGCATACAGAGATATCTCAGATGAATTTAAGCCACGATAAGCTTCAGACTCTAGAAATTATAGCTGAACACTCTTTTCTTTTTACTTAGCATTAATTCTCAAAAGAATGTAGTGAAGAAATGAACATATAGTTCTAATTTCTGTTAGAATGTTCCCCTACCTGATGCCTTACCCTTTCACAACTTTTCCCAAACATTAGTGACCTCTGATCTCTGTCTCACTGACACGGATGGTGTCACTGGCCTTTGCTCTTCTCCCAGTCAGTCACTTGTTGGTGAAGAAGATGGGAGCAATTCAAATTGAATTATTCTAGTTCAGTACTCTGGAACTGTAAGAGACTGAATCTATTCCAGGGCCAATTCTTAGGGTGTGTGCAGGGTTGCAGAAGGTTTTTGGATAACCTTTCCACAAAATTAGTCTTCTGGGGGAAAGTTACCTGCCAGAGATTTCCCTGAGAGGATTAAGGTGGGAAAAATCTGACTAAAATTGAAATATTAAAGTGTATACATTAGAGTTTCCTATCAGGGTGGGGAGCGTTGTTTCTTAGTAGTAACCTGATTTTCTTGGGCTGTCTTTTGAGATGTTCTTCCATGTTAAAGCATATGCTGTTTGAGGCTTCTGTTTATTATCCTTATGCCTACATTTAGTCACCCAGTGAGAACCTGTAGTGCGGTGAAATGGGTAAAATGGTACTTTGTCTTTGGTCTTCATCATTTGAACTAGTTTTGTCCCTTCCTTGAGCAGTTTGGGTGTGTCCAGTAATCCTAGTCAAACTGCGGAACACACCAAACTGTCAAGGAGGGACAAAACTAGTTCAAATGATG